TGTAGATCCGCATGCACGGACGCGCCCAGCAATTTCCTTGATGATAGCTCGCGCCTCCACATCATGCATGCACCGCCACATGAAGCTAAATGTGAGCGCGCTTAGCCGGACCGCCAATTGCCGCGCTCCCGGCGGCAAGATTGACCCTCACTTGACTCTGATCGAGCTCGTGTGGATCTATATGTTGCAGAGGCGAACGCTTCTCGAGTTCTGGCAGCTAATCAATTCTGAAATTACATTTTGACAAATTTGTGTCACATTCGTGATTGGGGGTCTGCCTCGCTCTGCGCGGTTTCGAGAAACACGAAGCGACTCGAAGGCAAAGCGTGTTTGACTTAACAGACCAAAGCCACAAGCGCTCACATCGTCGTTCGTACCGAGAGGCGCTGTTCACAAGCTTGCGCGAATTTGATTTAGTCAATTTGACTTAGCGATCAATATATAGCCAGTCAGTCAGACCAGCAGATGCCAGCAGAGAAGGCCGCTGGAGCAAATCAAGAGCTACACGTATGATTGCAAACACTGCCATGTGTGATCAAAGCGATCACTTCGACCGCAAGTGTCGCGCGGCGCGCATCGCGACAAATCTGCCGTGCGATAGAGTACGCCTAACGCATGACTTGAATGAGTACCTGGTGCTCGTGTGCCGCGAATGTGCGTTCCTGAATTGAGACGGGACACAAATTCCCGATCAAATTGGCCCACACTATGTCATAGATTACTATATTCAGTCATTCAGCAGACACATCGACCGGCAAAGAGTGTAGCCTCAGCATGCGTCTGAGCTGAGTCTGATGCTCATCTCAAACATGACTAAGCAACAACTCTGATGTGACTCGTGATTGACTCTTGATTCGTCGTGATTGACTCTTGACTCCACTACCCAAGCAGATCCACGTATTGAGATCTGGCACGAGCAACCAAGAGTCTTGTCGTGTGACCCCATTCGGCTTCAAGGCGCGCTCTCAACAGCCTTGACTCGTACTGCTCGGCCGATCAAGCATGTTCACTCGATGGATACGCCTGCACATCCCCTTTGTGCGGCGAGTTCTGCACTCACCATTCCAGATCCAACAGTCGTGAGTCAGGATTCGAGACTCTGCAGACTTGCTTTAACGCTGAGGCCCGCCCTTGTTCGATCGTGCAGGACTCGATCAACGTCGCTGCTCAATGCACGCGCTCTGTCCACCTGCCGTAGCCTAGCACAACAGCAATCGCTGACGAGTATAGAGGCACAGGACGCGCCAAGCTTAAGCTCAAATACTGGTGAGCCACACTCACGACTCGCAATTCACACTGTCAAATCGCCAGCGCCGCTTCCTTGCTCTAATCTTCTCGCTGCTCTTCACTCTTCTAGTGCACACGCCCGGTGCTGCTCATGCTTAGCACGACAGCTGCAGGTGCAAAGTGCGCGCGCAACATGGTCAACGTTCCGGCCGCGTCTGATGCGTCACGGGCATCGTGTCGGCAGCCACACTCAAGACTCAAAAAGATCAATCCGATCACGACTGCCTTGGGCCATCTTCAATTCGCCTTACCTGCATACATGCGCGCCTGTTCAGCTCTGACAGTCGATCGGGGATCGAATTTCCCTGAAGATGCACAACTCCCGATGCGCGTTGCGACGCACGATTCAGAAGAAGTCACGACTTTGTTCGGTAGAGCCCACGCTAGCGTGCGCTGGCGCTTCATCTTCAAGCTGGTCAAGCCGCAAATTCGAAGAGACGCGAAACGAGCTAAGGGGCCGTTGGCAGAGCTACGCCCAACTTAACCTCCCTGCAGGACTTTGCACATTCAAACAGCAGCCAAGCTTCACTCGACTCATTGCAAGAGCTACGGTTGTGCATCGACAAAGATGCATGGCAGTCTTCGGTCGCACTCGCGCTACTCGACAGAGATGACTGGCATGTTTCGAGCAGCGCTCTGCAAGGGAAG